ATGAGCAGACTGTATGCTTCGCAGCAGGGATACCTTTACATAGTCCACTTATAATACAAAATTGCTAAAAATGTTCCAATCAACGCAACCATGATAACAGAGCACCAAGTGACCACTTTAACCTCGCGAATTATTCTTCTTCCCAACTCTGTTTCTGTCTGAAAACTATAAAAGATTTTTCCTTTGATATTCAAATGGGGAAATGGCTGGTCTGGAATCGTCTTGCCTGTAAATTCACACAATGGCTTCCATCCTTGCTCGACTGTGTACAAAAGCAACTTTTCCTTTGGAACAACGGACTTGACGCGGTCGTTGTGCCAGCGGTATCGTTTACGATAGATATGTGGACACCTTGGCAAGACCAATCCAAAAATTGCATCTTCGCTGTCTCGTAAAATCTTATGCACTTTACTGTATGTTGGAAAGAGGATTTTCAGATTTCCTAGATACGAGTTTTCCCTTATCTCAATCTGCCTCTTCAAACTTCTTGCCCAGGATTCCTCGTCTCGTTCGGAGAGAATYACTTTAACTTCAGGAAAAGCTTCCATGATYTCTTCAAAGAAGAAGGTGCCCGGTTTGTCTACAATGGCATCGACGTCCTTGAACATGGAGTAGAAATCAAGAGGCTTGCCGTGYTGAAAGAAATCAAGCCATTCGTCCATGTAATASAAAATCTGCTCATCAAARTCCCAGACTTTGAATCCAAGAATCCTCAACGCATGAGCGATGGATTTAGTGCCAGTTTTAGGCAGACCAGCGCAGATAAACTTCATAGTTGTTTTCAAAGCGACTTCTTTGCTCCTGTTTTGTCTCAAAATTCCAAAGGGCCTGGTCACGAGTAATAAGGGACTTGAGACGTGCAGCGGTTAGGAGATGGCCCGTAAGAGAAGCTGTAGGTCCGCTCATCTATGTTATGTTTAATTACATGAATCTTTGTTTTAGACTTTAAATCAATTGAGTGCAAAAACATGATTTGTTTTGACGAATTTATAGTTTCTCAAGTCCCTTGTTCTGATTGTATGGAACACTGTTTCTAAAAAGAGGCGTAACTAGTTAGTAAATGTAAATTCTGTTAATGTTTGTCCAGAAAAGCTACTGCAATTGAATTATAACAGTGTCGATACATTCTCTTATAATTTCTGGGTAACCTGTGGGTCAACAAGTAATTTATTCGTATTGTTACGATAAACTTTATTGTTTTCATTGAGTTTTAAGAACTTATGTGCCGTCACTCAGAGGTATTCACCTTGCGTAGGCAAGTTTTCTTGGATGATCCGATTTTAGTTTGGACCTCAGGAGGCGTAGTTGGGGGTTAGACGGATTAGACGTAGGCTATTATTTAAGGCCGACAAAAGAAATGGATGCGAAGTCCTTTTGTATATATATTTTAATTATTATTATTATATTAACTGTAGTGAGATACAAGGATTTCTAACACTGAGAAAAATCGTATTTATCTGACACATGTGTAATAAAAATTACATGGGTATGAGATCGAGAGATTATTAGCCAATCGGTGATCAACATTTGATCACATGACATGTAAGTTTCGCGCCACTGTCGAAGCGCATACGCGTTGTTTTGCTTTGACAAAGAAAGTCGACATCAAGTTAAGTATCTACTAAAAACAACAAAAAAGCCTCGTATATAAAATGGATTCAAAGGAAGAGATCAGAAAACTGAACAGATTTGAAGAAATAGAGGATCATAACATGTAGAAGCTATCATAAACCTCGAAGAAAATGAGAACACAAAGAAAAAAACGGCTAAGTAAGACATGGCGATTTTCGTCGCCTTCTTGAACAATTCASAAAACGAGAGCCGTGATGTACACGAAATACAACCAAATATGCTTGATTCATACATCAGCAAATTCTTATTATCTATCAGAAAGCGTGAGAGCATAGAGACAACTACGAGCAAACAATGGTTTATTCCTCCGATGAATATTAAAAAGAATCCACTACGTTGAGTCAGTTTATATTACTGGACATTCCTTTTGAACAAGTTTCACGCCCTCAAATCCAAACTAAAGCAACTTAATATGCGATAGAGCGGATTTCGTATGACTGTGCAAAAGCACGGATCGCAACACGGACACGATACGGCACGGTCACGGAACCTCGCCTTCTAGGATTTCAAAAGAAAGTAAAGGTTTTTTCATTTCGCTAATTTGACCTCTAAATATAATAGCTTTTTTAGAATATCACACGATCAGTGCAAAGGATGAATTTGTGTGGGAACAATATAATGGAATGTATATGGAGCACTGTCTCTAAAAAGAGACGTAACTAGTTAGTAAATGTAAATTCTGTTTAATGTTTCTTCAGAAAGGAACTGCAATTGAATTATAACAGTGTCAATACAT